TCGTGTTGCACGACTTACTGCACCACCCATTATATTTCAACAAAAAAACAAAAAAAATCTAAAGAAAAAAATATATATTCATAACAAATTCGAGAGTAAAAAGTTAAAAATAATTGATACATGTTATAAATAATATCTTGCTCAATTAATTATAAATATGTTCTATATATATATACAAACTAATTGTTCATCATCTTTGAAACTAAAAATATATTTAAAAATTTATAAGATGTTTGTAGACTAACAAAAACTTTTCTTTTTGTATTCTAGATTATTGTGTACGTTTCAAAGTAAATAGTAACGTAGATGTGATATACATATACTACGAAATACGTTCTAATGGCATTCACGTAAAAAGGACTTAGTTGTTGCTTGCTCTGAACATTTTATTCAATTGGTTAATTTCACAACCAATACTTTCTTATATAGATGTCTATTGTAAATAAATTAAAAGACAAAAGAAAAAAAAATGAAAAAATTATTCTTTAATAATGTAAATTTAAATAAAATTTTTAAATAGAATACAATTCGTTTTCGATATTAATCAATCGAAAAAATATATATTGTTTATTTTTTTGTTATTGCATCAATGTGTTGTTATTGCTATTGTTTTCTTCCCTTATAATAGATCGTTTTCTTTTTCTTTCCGCAGTCAAATCGGTTGCAAAGTAAAAATAGCTAATGACAGTTAATCGAAGAAAAGAAAAACACAACACGACAATCTATTGTAAAAAAAAAAAATGAGGGCAGTGTCTTACGTTGAAATAGATTTTCAAAGATTATTTTTTTAAAAAAAAATATTTCATAGTTCTTTTTTCAGATATTTTCAATGGATAAATCTGCTTTATATCGTCTAAAAAATTTAAACAATCATAATATAATATCAGTATTCAAGGATCAATTCAAAATTGGTCGTGCTACAAGTAAATAGAATAAACATATTTTATTCTGTAGGATACCTTTGAAATAGTAAATACTTATTCCTTATAAATAAATATCAAGGTTACATAGATACATTTACATACATTTCGTCCTTGTATAATATTATATATTTTAAAATATATGATCAAATTTTCTTTTTTTTCTACAAGATATTAAGAAGATAATTTTATCGAGTTCTATTTTATTTCATTCAATTATGTTAAATATATTTTGATTGTTCTTCAAAAGTATTGAATTTTCGAGATTCTTGTAGAATACAGATTTTCATATAAAGAATTTCAGAGCTTATGGATTATCATACTTTTCAGATACGAGATTTTTTAAAAATATTCTTTAAGTATCGAAAAGTTCATAGCTTGGAGAAACGATCCCTATAAACTATTGTATATGAGATTTTCAAACAAAATATGATTTTTTTGAAAAGCTAAAGGTTTTAAAAATAGACATGTATCAAAACTGTTTTTTTTTTATCATTTGCGCCTAAATAAAGAGAAATTTTCTTATTGATACAACATGTTATCGTCAATAGAAAATTGAAGTAGAAGAATGTCAATAAAAGAATTTCAGCAATTTTGTTAGACTAAATGCTTGAGTAGATTATTCTCTATTTAATTGTCAATGGTAGACATCTTTTCTTAAAATTTATTGGTATAATTTATAATATTCAATATCTGTTATGAGATTTAGGTACATGTCTCCCTTCAGGGACATCTAATACCATTCAATCTTCAGAGTATAATGTCACATTTTTTGAACTAATTGTTATCATTTCGATTAATACTCTATTGTGGTTTATTTATAACTAACCACATATTTAAACAATATGCGTTATATTTCTCTGAATAAAAATAATGAATTAAGTGTTAGAAAATCTTCCTGTAGACATAAATTTAAAAATGAATGAATTCCAATACAAAAAGAAAACTTTATTTTTTTTTGTTCGAAAGCAAATCTCTTTCGTTATGTATATAAGTTAATCTAGTTAAGTTCTCTATCTCATAATTCAATCAGTTTGAATTTTTTATAATGAAAAAAAAATATATATTTCAAGAAATTAATACGAATTATTTTACTATTTAGGTAATGATTTATCAATTGCAAATAATCGATATATATCATCATCTCATTGTATATTTGAATATGATCATGGACATGTCTATATACGTGATACAAGTTCTAATGGTACATTAATTAATCGAATAAATAAAATAAGTAAAAATGATCCTGTAAGTTAATAATTAATATAAAAAAATAATACAAAAAAGAAAACGTTTTTTTTAGCGTGTTGAACTTCATTCCGGTGATATTGTGCATATAGTTTTTCGAAAAGATGAACCTGAATCAAGTATATTTTTTTGTTTTATTATTTATTTAATTGTAATAATTAAAAGAAAAAAAAAATTTTAGATGTTATTTTTCAAATAGAATTACCAATAGTAAAACAAATTGAAGAACAATCAAATAAAGAATTATCTACATATGATGAAGGTCAGAATATTATTTTATTTTATTTTTTTGTTAATTTAAAATAAATTATTTTATTTTAGATACACAATTAGTTTCATATCCATCAATTCCATCATCATCACCTAATCGTTAGTTATATTAAATTTTTAATTAATTCAATTGTTTTTTTTTTTTGTTTATTAAAGAAACACAAGAGAATATTGATATATCTAATCTAATGAATACAAGTATAGATGTTGAATTAAAACCAACTAAAAAAAATGAAGAACCACGAAAAGAATTTGCAATGGAAGCTGGTGATGATATGGAAGATGTATTAACATGTGTATGTTGTCAAGATATTATGTCGAATCCAATAAGTCTTGAACCTTGTTTACATGCATTTTGTAATGATTGTTATGCTTCATGGGAAGCTGTTCAACGAACTTGGTAATATCAATAAACAATTAGATATTTTTTTAGAACAAAAAGCTAAGCTTAAAATTTATTTCTAAGATATAATTGTAACAATCTATAACAAAATTTTAAATTCAATCGGATAAAGTTTGACTCTTATTATCGTACATATCTCTTTATTTCTAACGTTCTATTTGTGGTAATAGATATTTGACAAATATGTCAACAAGGTAATGTGTTCGAACCTAGACACTATTAGATATAAAATAACCTTCGACAAGTCACTAAAGAGACGTTTATCTGATAGCAAAATGATTGCATAGGTGACATACATAAAAAAAAAGTATTGTGCGGTTAGTTTGTCAATTTGTTCAAGAAGCTTAAGTGATTAAGCAGTTTTCTATGCGTTCATAGCCGCAACACATTTATATCCTTTTTTTGGGGGGAAATTTAATTCGAAATAGTAAGCAGTGATTGTTTTTTGTTTTAGTCCAAAATGTCGTGTTAAAGTTATTGGCAAGAAAAAAAATTTTGTAATTAATGGAATTTTAGAAGCTTATCTTAAAGCATATCCACATAAACGACCTATACCAAAACAATCTAATGAAAATCATGATGAGTTAACAAAGACAAAAACTACAAAATACGAAGTTTGTTAAAAATAAAAATCTATTATTTTTATCTATAATTTATAAAGATTGGTCCTGATGGAATGTATTTAAATAATACTCAATATGAAGATATGGATGATGAGAATGAGGATGAAGATGATGAAGTAAATAATTATGATTTTTATTTTTTTTTGTTAAAGATTTTTTTAATGAAATATTGAAGATGGAAGACGATGATGATGATGATGATGATGATGATGATGACGATGATGATGATGAAGATAATCATCATCAATTTTACTTGTAAGTTTTTGTATTTTTATATAAGAATTTATTTGAATAATATATTATTAATAGTAATCAATTAATTGTTCCTCCTCAACCTCCTATTGCTAATGTCAGATTTGTTTGTCGACAATGTCCACCACAAGGTATAAAATGTTTTTTTCTATTCGATTTGATTAAATATTATTTATATTATTAGCTGCTACAGCTATTGTTCCAACTGATTTTCAATGTGCGGCAAATCAAAATCATATACTTTGTCAATGTTGTATACAACCAATGCCAGATCGACGAGATGAAGCTGATATTCATCAACATTGTAAATAGATTATTTTGTTTTTTTTTGTCGGTAATCTTTTTTTTTCTTTATTTAGGTGAAATATGTAAACAATTTTTTTGTAATATTTATTTTCAACAATGTTCACGAGCTGGATGTCTTGGATGTTTAAATCATTTACGAGGTAGAAATTATTATGTTTTTTTTTTTTTTTTTTTTTAATATTGTATTTATTAGATTTTAATTTTGCACCACGTCATCTTACAAATATTGTTAATGATAATCCTATTGAATCACAAATTGTTCAAGTAAGTTTTTAAAACAAATTAATATCGAAGATCATTTGAATTGTTTTTTATTCATTTATATCATAATAAAATTTGCTTCGGAAGATAGACCTTTAATCGTAGTTTCAAAAAAAATACTTCATTTTAAATTGAAATACAGAAGATTTAATTGTTTAAAATTTTATAGGAATATCTTACTAATAATAATAAGACAATGCGTGATTTACTTATTGAATGTTGTGATCGTCTTGATCGACAAGAATTTATTTGTTCTAGTATTGATCGTAATACTGCTGGTAAATTCTTTTTTGTTTTTCTGTAAATATTTTATCCATTGTGAAATTTTTTTTTTAGTTCCTTCATCAAAAGTTGTTTGTTATAAATGTGGTTTAAAATTATTTAAAGAATTAGCTTATCAATTTCGTGTTCAAATGAAACAAGATGATATATATCCAGTAATAATGCGTAATCGTGATAATTGTTATTATGGTAGAAAATGTCGTACACAATATACAAAAATTGGTCATGCACAAAAATTAAATCATGCTTGTGAACAAATAAAATTTTAAAACTTCATATTTATTTATTTTTTTTTTTTTTGTCTCTGTTAAAATGAACGTCTATAGTTTTTTTCTGATAATAAAGATGTATCTTTTTTTTTTTTATCGTATTCGAAGTAAAAGTTATCATGATAAGTTAAGAATTTTTTACTTTTTTTTTTGTTTACAGATATCAATGGTATCTTCAAATTTAGAAATACCTGTATTTTATCCTACATATGATGAATTTAAAGATTTTTCAACGTTTGTTTCTTCAATTGAAGCACGTGGTGCACATAAAATTGGTTTAGCAAAAATTGTTCCACCTAAAGAATGGACAGCACGTAAAATGGGTTATAAACAAAAACAAATCTATGAAACATTAGTAGAAAATCCTATAAGACAAGAAATACATGGAAAAGATGGAGTTTATTCTGTATTTAATATTCAACAACCATCAATAAAATTAAGTTCATTTCAAAAATTAACATCATCAAATCGATATGCACCACCAATATCAATTTCGAATGATTTAGAAAAATTAGAAAAAAAATATTGGCAAAATTTAACTTCAAATGCAGCAATATACGGAGCCGGTATATTAGAGAAAACTATAGAATAGTGTGGGGTTTGGTTTTTGCCAAAGGGCAACTCCAATGCTAGATAAACTTATGATAGTTCAAATTTTTACATTTAGGTACTCTAATTAAAATTCTCAGCTTAGAAGTGTAAGTCGTCGCCGCCGCTGTGAAAAATGCAAGTTCAACCGTTGCCATGAATGAAATTTTTTGATAATAGTATAAGGCGTTGTCGCCGTTGACATCAATACATATGCGATCGATTATTGTTTTCGTCTTTGAAGAGCAAATATGCTTCTGTTGTTTTGGTTGTCAAAGTCGCCGCCATTTTGTAACCTTTTCGGCTTACACTTTTATTCTCAGCTAGCCTTTCAAGCAAATCATATTTTTACTTTTTTCTTATGTTAAAAGGAAGTAGTTTTTCGATACTTATAACTTTAATTAACAAAAAATTTAGAAAATATCCTAGAAGAACTTATAATATATAATTCAATGCGACTTTTTCTTCTCTTCCTTCGACTGGTGAAAAATTATAGTGCCCTATTTTATTTCTATCGGAGAGTTATAATTGATAATCATGACTTTTAAGGTTGACAGTCCTACTCAGAATATATTAAGACGTACTATGCATATTTTAATTTTATGTTTATTCTACTTACTATTTCATTTAAAAATCTTTGAAAACGTTCTTTAATTTTTGAAATAGTAGAATTAAGAAATCATTTGAAATACTTCATTCTCTCAATATATATTCTAAATTGATAGTTTCTTATTTAGATGTTAGTGGTTCATTTTATGATGAAAATCAAACAATTTGGAATATTAATCATTTAGGAACAATTCTTGATGATATTGTTACTGAACAAGGAATGAAAATTCAAGGTGTTAATACAGCTTATTTATATTTTGGTATGTGGAAATCAAGTTTTGCTTGGCATACTGAAGATATGGATCTTTATTCAATTAATTATCTTCATTTTGGTGCACCAAAACAATGGTAAATATAGATGAATAAATAAATAAATAATTTAATTGTTTTTTTTTTGTTTTTCAATAAATACTTAAACATCATTTAGAAAGAGGAAAAAAGGAAAGAAATCGGTGAGAATATTTATAATCAATTTATTTTGCAATATAAATTTTTTTGTTTTCTACAATTGTTTTAAAATAGATAAAAAAAATATTGATTAATGATTTTCTTTTTAGGTATATTATTCCACCATCATATGGTAAAAAATTTGAAGAATTTGCTGCAACTCGCTTTCCTGCATTAGCACGACGATGTCCAGCTTTTCTTCGTCATAAAATGACAATTATATCGCCAACAATATTAACAAAACAATCTATTCCATATAGTAAAATGACACAATATGAAGGAGAATTTATGATAACATTTCCTTATGGTTATCATTCGGGTTTTAATTATGGTTTTAATTGTGCTGAATCAACAAATTTTGCTTTAGAACGTTGGATTGAATATGGAAAACATTCAATTAGATGTACTTGTAGAGGTGATATGGTTACAATTAGTATGGATACATTTGTTTATAAATATCAACCAGAACTTTATGAAGATTGGTGTCGAGGTATTAATTTAACACCACATCCCGAAGATAAACAATTGTGTAAAATAAACAAAGAAGATTTATTAGCAAAAAAATGTTTATTAATTAATAATAATACTAATAATTCGAATAAAAGTAAGCGAATATCTTCCATCATAGATTTTACTATTGTTAGATTGCTTGGAACACTAAGTTATAAATCGTTTTCGAACTTGAATTATATTCAATTAAGAAATAACAGTGGTTCATGCTGTTAGGTCTTTGTTATTGAGATTTCAAATGTTTAGTAACTTTTTTCCTGTAGGACTATACTTTAAAAGTATAATTTCCTTTGAAAACTTAAGTTCTACAAGAAAAATCCATCAAATATTCGAAGTTTCAACAACTTAAATCATTCTAGTATATTTACTTAGAGCAAACCAAAAGTTCATAGAACGGTTTTAAAGAATCTTGTCGGATAAGGTAACCTATTCAGAAATGAAAAACCAAATGTACCATATTGTAGAGCTTTTTGAGACGCGTCGAATGGTATATAGGAAATCCTGTTTTCATAAGTCTTTGAAGGAAGTAGAGTCAATTTACTGATAGACGACTACCCACCCACACCCAAGCATGATAAGTTACTGAATATTGTGGTCCTTGGTATTAGTCGAAAGTATTTGTAAAATATTTTTTCTCACATATGATTTTGCAGAGTTTTTGACGGGCTACAGTCATCTTGTCAGTGTAGGTATCGGTGGATGTAAGTGTGAGTGTGTAGTTGTCTATCAGTAAATTGACTCTAGTTCCTTCAAAGTCTTATGAAAACAGGATTTATTATATACCATTCGACGCGTCTCAAAAAGCTCTACAACGTGGTATATTTGGTTTTTCATTTCTGAATAGGTTACCTTAACCGACAAGGTTCTTTAAAACCATTCTACGAACTTTTGGTTTGCCTTAAGTACTTACTTACTGGGTCTAATTGATTGCATATAGTTCCTACTTAAAAGTGTTTTACCATTTGAGAACTATTCTTAATAAGTTTTGCTTATAAGATATGAAAGTTTTTTGATCATTGGATGCCCTATGCCAAATCGATGTTTTCTATGAAGTATGAAGTTCAATAAAACGGCTATAGTTGTAAAAGAAAAAGATATAGGCGTGATCTCTTTGAAGCTTTCTCTAATCTCAATAAATACTACAGATAGACAAATTATGAAGTGTAACAGTGTTTAATATTTGAAGAACCTCTAACATCGTCTCTGTCAATATCGAGAAATTTGATTTTTTTTTTTGTTATTGTAGTACTATAAAATTTTACAGATTCTCAATAATTATCAAATTCTTTTTTTTTAAGCTTGTATTGAATCATTAACAACTATTGAACAATTACAACAACATTATCATCATAAACGTATATCTGATGAACGATATGTTTGTATATTTCGAAATTTAGCAAAATTTGATAAACAAAAACAATTATCAATAAATCAATATTCAATTCCACTTATTCGAGCTGCACTCTATCGAGCAAAATTTAAAATAAATAAAAATTCAACGAAAAATTCAAAAAAATTATTATGTTTAACATCTAATTTAATATCAAATTATTCTTATTCTATTTTATCTAGTTCTTATTTAATATTTTTTAATGGTCTTAAACAAGCAGGTAAATATCGTGAATATATTCTTAATGGTCTTTGGAATTATCAATTATTAAATATTAATTTTGAACAATTATTTAATCAATGGTTATCTAATCAATCATCAAATTGTTCAATTTGTTATTTTATTGATAAAAATAATTTAAATAAATTATCATCAATTCGTTCTTTATTAAAATCTGAAGTATATTATAATACATTAAATAATTCAAATGAATTACTTCAATGTTCAATATGTCATATTTGTGTACATCAAGATTGTTATGAATGTATATGTCTTGCATTAAATGTAGATATTAATAATGAATATGATCAATGGTTATGTCAACGTTGTACTTTAAAAAATAAAGTAAATAAAATTTTATTTATTATTAAAACTTTTAATTTTCCTTTGTTTTTTTGAAGATTTCAAATACAATTGATGATCGTTGTTCAGCTTGTTTACTTCGTGGTGGTCTTCTTCTTTATCCTCGTTTATCATCATCATTTATTCATGCTATCTGTTCAATATATCAAGTTTATCAAATTTCATCTCAAATAAATTCATGTTATTATTGTTGGTCATTTTGTCCATTAAATTATCGACGTATATCAACACATATTTATGCTTCTTGTAATTCTAATCAATGTACAAATACATTTCATATAACATGTGGTCTTATTAATGGATGTACATTTCAAATTGATCAAGATCATTTAATTATTGATGCTCGTTGTCATTTACATGCAATAAATTCTATATTAAATTCATCGATATCGATAATGACTAGTGGATCATCAACAATTGATGATAAAATAATAGAAATTAGTAGTGATAATCTAATAGATGGCAAACAACAACAACAACAACAAGAAGAAAATCGAGATGATGATAATAATAATAATCATAATATAGTTGAAGAAAAAAAACGTATACCTATAGGAACTCGAGTATTAATTAATGATACAAAAGGACAAAAACTTGGTCAAATTATTGGTAATGAATTAAGTTATCACTATTCAGTTGATTTTGGTGATGATACTTATAGTCATGATATGTAAGTATATCAAGATTCTGAAACTAAAATACATACAACTATAAATAGAATATTTACTAGACATCAACAAGATCATCTTTTCTTTATTTGTTTGTCTCAAAATTTTTCTTAGTTCTGACCATATAGCTTAGAAAATTCTCATAGTTCTTGCAAAATTTAAATGAGTAAGTATTATTTTTAATAGAGATCTCCAAAATGATTCCTATTCAGGATCGAAAAAATGTAATTTTGTAAATCCATAATTTTATCTCAATGCATAAATAAAATGAGTCTATTTGTAAATCATTGATCAGAACAAAATAATAAATATGAAGATATATAGTCTAGTTCTAAAACATCACGGAACTAGTTTTCAGACTCCTAGTATATTACATATACATAAGGATTAATGCTGTGTTAAAGCTGATGTCTTTTTTTGATTATATAATAGCTGTCGTACATTAATAGAACGAAGAAACCATTTCGATTTTTTTTTTTGTAAGTGCATTGTATTCGAAATTTTTTGTTTTGATTAAATAACATAAAAAAAAGAAAATGTTTATAAAATAAAACTTATTCTTTATGTTCTTTTTTTTTGTTAAAGGCTTGCTGAAGATATACTTGATTCTGATCCATCAAAATTAATTATTGGTTCAACTGTACGTATAAAATGGACTGATGGTACAATTTATACATGTAAATATCTTGGACGTCAACGAGTACTTTTATATCATATAAAAATTAATAATGAAATTCGACAATTACAACGAAATGAATTTTCACTTGATATTCAATTACCAACACCACCAGTAACACCTTCAACAAATGAATATGAATTTGATTCTAATCGACGATCATTATTTATAACATCAACAAAACGACAAAATCAACAACAAAAACAACCAATTAAACGAAAACGACGACGTCTTCTTTTATCATCTTCATCATCATCTGATGAATCTTAGATTAGGTTTTTGTATATACTATATGCATATATATATATATATTTTTTTTTTTTGGTTAGTTTTTGTCATATTTCTCCGTTCATATATCCAACGCATATATACAAATATATTTATATCTCAGCATACAAATTCTCTCATTGTATTTGTTGTCTGATCCCGGTGGTATATATGTCGTTGTAGTTTTATTCTATTCGACTTTTGTTTTCTGTATAAATGTAGTGTTTATCGTATTGTATTTCATCTCTTTTTTTAATTATCAAAAAAAAGAGGGAACTTATTAAAAACATAACAACCAAGCAAATAAATCGTATGTTTATTATCTGATTATTAAGATAAATAAGACTCAATAGAGGTTTATATTGATTCACTTAATCATAACATACAGCATGGGCGGCGGAGCCATTAGGCTTTGGGAGGATCGGGCCTCCCGTAGAAAAATATGGGGGAGACTCAAATACTAAAAAATATTTTAAAGATATAATCGCAAGTTTACGTCTTATTAGAGAGAACTCTTTGAACAAAGGTTGTCTCGTGTTTTTTGAATGGTACACCCAGTCAAATGTTAGATAGTCCATATGTATCACTATATTTGTAGTGCCTCGATGACTTTCGGATCACAAACATTTATCTCTATTTCAGTTTTACAAAAAATTTTGAAGTAATAGATGAACATGAATCTTTTGGCAGACAAAATCTTTACTAAATAGCGTCGAAGCATGTCTTTCTTAAAAGAACAAGAAAAAAAATGAGTATAATTACTAATATTCACGTAGTTAGTGTGAATATGTTATCAACTAATTTAACTGACCGCATTAAAACTCCCTGTTTATAACACATAACGAACATACAGAATGTGCCAAAGATTACTATTGAAAATACATGTAACTCCTGTAGCAATGATGCTTAACACAAAACTTATTTTATTTGAAAGAAGAGACTAACATGTCTGTATTATTAAAGACCCGTTTCAACAACAATGTAGCAAAAGTGGAATTTGCGAATACAAAAAAAGAATAAAATGAGGTTTTCTCTATGTGGAAAACGATATGAAGCGTTTTTTCGATATCTATTAGAATTTCAATTGTTATTAGGAACTTCAAATCATTCAAATCTATCCTCATGACTTTACAAATACTCATCCTGATATATTCTCGAGAAAAAGAAACAAGAAAGCCAATATTAATTATAACATGTGTTGTTAAATAGTCCAACGCACACTTTTCACGGCCTTAATGGTTTTCGAAGAGGCACGAACAACCTACCGAGGGAAAATGCATCAGTTATTGGTTCTTTTCAAAATGTGTCAGAAAATGGCTGTCAAGCAATACTGAAAGATCTAAATGATCTGAAGTGCACAATGACGAACAAAATTCTAGTAGATATAGAAAGTGACACTATATTGTTTTTGACATAGAAAAAGTCTAATGTTTTTCTTTTTGTAGCTACAAATCCCGCTTTTGCTACGTTGTTGATTAACTTGTTCTTTAAGAACAAAGTGTTCCTAGGCTCCCATTTGAAATAAAAAATATTAGATTCAGCTTGAATAATAGTGCATTGAAATGTATTTAATAAGTCACAATGACTTTTGGCATATTTTATTCGCTGATCACTTTTAGTCATATCGATATCCTTCATATGAAGAAAAATTAGTTTATGTGGAATAGAAGAATAGCTGCAATGGTTCATAAAAAAAAAAGAAACAGCATGAAATCATTTTCAGTCGTGAGAAGTGCTTTTAGCTCTGCCTTGCTATATTCACATTAGATTAGGTGTAAGATTTTTATGTACATGCTAATTATCCAATAGAAAAGTTAACGTTGCCGTAAAATTTTTCACTATGGTTCAAATTTTGACATGAGTAAATCCAAAAATGCGTTTAAAATATAGTGAACATTATAAAAAGTAGAAAATAGTTCCTTTTTTGTTCCATCTCTCATCATTGCCCCGGAAAAAATTTTGAGTCTCCCCCCTAAGTTAAAATCGTTCCGTCGCCCATGCTTCAGACCTCATATCCACACTCTCAAACAAGTTTGAATGAAGTAAGATCAACTTGTTCCAACTATTTTTGCCAATCTTTTCTTTTTTCTCATCCAAAATCAAACAAGCTCTGCTTGGTCCATACTTTTTCTCATTCAACGTTTTCAAATTATTGAGCTTTGTCTAGAATGACCACATAGCACCGTTATATCGGCACTATAAAATAACATTTTCCTATATTGTGGTATTTTTTGCTACGTATGTATTCTTAGTTATATGTTACAATTAATTTGTAAATAAATTCGATTTATATTCTGTGAAAATCGTACTTGTTGAATGAATATTTTTATTAAAGAAGATATATATTTGCTTTTTGAGTATCTTCTAATTTGAAACTCAACTTAAATAAACAATAAAACAATGTAAAAAAAAGAGAAAGTCTATTAGAATCTAATCAATCAAGTAATAAAAAATCGTTTTTTGTTTTTCATTCTTATCATCGAATATAAATTGTATGCGATTTTTCAATACTAAATGAGATCTATATGTATTTATAAATAAACAATCGTTTTCTTTATTCTTGTTAAAAAAAACGATACAGAGAACATATATTTCATTGGCTACTTCTTGATTGCAGACACCAATTAAGGGAAAATGTCTGCAAAGCAGAATCGGGGGGTGAGAGACAAAAATGACCGCTAACTGGAACAGGTTCACTTTATGGAATCAAGATTTATTTATTATATGAAAAGAATACACAAAATAATCATTAATGAAAGACAAATGAATGGATCTAATACATTCATATACTTTCAATCCATTTTTGGTGGATGCTGGAACTCATGAGTACCATCCGATTTAATAGATGAAGTTTTTACAATGGAATCTTCACGTGTAGTGATTGAAGCATTACACGATCTATGTGTACAAATCCACATTTGAGTACCACACTTATTTGTTCTCTTAAGTCCAAAATGATAATTTTTGAACATTATTCCATCATTACCAGTTTGTGTCGTAAATTTAGAAAAACTATCACAATTTACAGTGGACATTTTTATTTGATTTATATTTTACTTTATTTCTATCACTTTAAATACTTTCGTTCAGTGCGTATTACAAAAATGGCCTGAATACCATGTGATATCCGACATTAGACCAGCTCGTAGAAGTAGATATTTTTTCTTAATTCGAGCTAGTTGGACTAACTATATTTCTTCGTTTACTTTCGCTTCTGTTCAAAATGCAGATGTTTTTCTCTCCCTCATTTCCACTTTGCAGTCATTTTTTGTCTCTCCTCCTCGTTTCCATTTTGCAGTCATTTTTTTTCTCTCTCCCCCCCGATTCTGCTTTGCAGTCACCAATTAAGAGAAAATGTCTGCAATCAAGAAGACACGATTTCATTGATCATATCGATTCTTTAACTATTGTATTATTCAAAGTGAACGATAGATTAAAGCTTCATTTTAATAGTAGTACATTTCATCATGATTGTAACTATCAATAACTAACATATTATTGTTCTAATCTTTAGTATCTACATTTTTTTTAATTGAAAAAATTTTTAATTTTAATTTTCATAAATCTAATTCAACTCTTCTCTCAAGAAACAGAAGCGCAGATAGACAATGTATCATACACGTGATAATAAAAAAGAAAATCAAAAAAGTTATAGAAAAGACGATATATAAAACGAGAATGAATTGAGACGTATTATGAATTTTATAATAATCATAATAATGTATATCATCTGTTCAAATTTTTACATAGAACAAAAAATTCAATTGTTATACAATTTTCAAGAATTAAGAATTTCAATGAAAAATTTCATTTGCCCAATATCAACGAAATATGTATATGATAGTTTATTTAATAGTAACATTAGTACATATCTTATATATCAGTTCGAATACATGATATATTCTTTCTCTTCTTTTTCTTATCTATTCTCTCATAGAATAATCGTCTTGTATATCAATTGTATACTTCATTTTCAGTTGTGTTTAAGCTTCACAAGTTAAATTTATAATCAAAATCAATTTTGTCAAAGGTGATCTTTTAACTTATTTCAAGTAAGTCAATTTTTAATAAAATATAAAGTGTATAAATTTTTTGATCAATATCAAATTTCATCTCTAGTCAAATAAAAATAAATTACATTAATGCATCATTCAACAACATCAAACAAAAATATTGAATTCATCGATTTAACATCAGATGATAATATTAAACAAGAACCAATAATAAATAATCAATGTCAATATACATTTCGAATTTTAATTAAAAATGAGGTTTGTCTATTAAATTCAATATATCTCTATTAACATTTTTTTATCAGAAAAAAAAAATATTATTCATAATTTTATCCTAAAAGAAAATGATTTTCTGTAAATTTAATTAGTCTATGAAAAAAAACAAAAGCTGGTTTAAATCAATAGATATTTAATTGATCGGAAAGACATTGATGATTGAGTTCAAAAAAAATAAGTCACATATATACAATCAATATATAAACAATGAAATTGTTTAGATGCGATTATTCCAATTACGGCGAAAGAAAAGAAATGCAGATGTCAAACATCAAATTTCACCGTTTGTTTTTTCCATACGTCTGTTTCACGCTAAGTTGAAATCATTCCCATAACGAAAAATATTTCACCTGGAAAGAAAGAATTTAAATATGTATAATAAATCTTTTCGATTTCTTCTTATGAAAATAAAAAGTCAACAAAATGACTTAATTCTTGAGTAATATTTTTTATTTATATTAATTTTTCATTAGATTTCATCAACAACAAATGTATCAAAAACAACTCATACATCAATTAATCATCAACAATCATTGAAAACAAATGATAAAACGAAAAAACTTAAAGTAATAAACTAATTTCGAGATTCTCAAATGATTATTTAAATTTTATCTGTAAAGGAGTTTAGGACACTTGCTCACTATAACAGCTACATAGGGCCCTATAACGAGCAACTGTCCGGATCCTCTGTAAAGATTACGATGACAATCAATT